TCTAACACGCCAACACGCCCCCACATATCTACCTCACTATGTGGGAAGATTTGCATAACGCCGCCCAAACGTTCACGCAAGGCGTAACTTTTTCTCACTGTAGTATTGTTGCCGTCGCCATGTCGTGAAGACGCTGTGTGTTTCGTTGTGAAAGCGAAACTACTTTGTTTGGTCTTCCAAAAGAGGACGATATCCGCTTCGTCATGCCTGGAGCTGATCCGTGCTGGTCGCTGAGGGAATACATCAACTTAGTGCTGTGGATCGCCGGATCGGCTTTCACCGTGGACGAAGCGGAGTCCAGCCCGGGGTCGTCACATGTGTTTGCCGCTCCTTCGTCGGATTCGCCGGCCGCGCCGTTCTCAACCCCGCCGCCTCTGCTCACTCTAGTCCGGCCTCAGCTCACGCTAGGCCCCCGTGATTTTCATTGTGAAAGCGAAACTACTTTGTTTGGTCTTCCAAAAGAGGACACGACTACAAATCAGTGGCTAAGTTGTATTTACAACACTGTTCCAGAACAGTTTAACCCAAATATCCAGATGTGTGCAGCACATTTTATGGAGGACTGTTTACTGATCCTGGTAGAGTAGACTACAATGCCGGCAGTTCTGACTCACAGTCATAACTTTTCATTTAAAGGATTTGCCACTGATTATTCAAACGCGAGTTTTGGGCAGTGTAGTGTAGCACTTGTTGTTTGTCATTTCTCCGATCACAAATGCAGACAGGGTCTTATGTTTACGCGGAGCAATGCAACACAACGAGTAAAAAGACAGTATAAGTCATTATAATCAGTAGTTATGTCCCCACTGGATGCAACAAATTCCTCGTTTGTAATGGGTTTCAATGTTTTTGTCGTCGCTCCGGCCGGACACGGCATCAACACTATGGTGAGGGGCGTAACATTTCCGTCACACGCTTGAGGTATTTGGCCAATCACAACGTACTGGATAGCTGGCCAATCACAGCACACCTCGCTTTTCAGACCGATGATCTTTGTAAAAATCGACGCGTTTCAAAAAGGCTGGGCATAGAGGTTAGTTCTGTATACAAGTTCTGAACCCTACTATACCTGTATGGCGGTAAGTCGAGCCAGACGAGCTTTTTCTTCCCTGATGCGCTTTCGATCATCTTCTTTCTTCTTCAGTGATTCAGTGGTTTTCTCCTCCTCTACTCTCTGCTCCCTCTCCTATGGAAAATACACCAAATCACCCATAAGCATGGGAGCAATACCTTTGAACAGACAATAACAATATCCACTGCAGGACTGTAGCCTATACTGTAGATACTGTATCTACATCAACTGGAAACAAAAATATTCTTTCTACATTGAAGGACATTCAAAAATGTCATGTATTCTAAATAAATAATTTTTTTATTCAAATATTAATGTTATATTTTATGATTAAATATTTAAGTCAAGATTTTTTAGACCTCCTTGGGTGAAATACATTACCTTCTTTTTGGATGTGAGGAGGTGTTTGATTGTATTCTCATTGGCTCTCTTTCTGCTGGCTTGGCGACGATACCACCGCTGGATGGTAATAGCAGCATGGTTCACCTGCTGAATATACCTGTAAAACATTTTTGTAAACGTTTAACCATATACAAAGGCCATTTAGAAACAGTTTGAAATGCCTCAAAGGTCAATCAAACATTTGCACCGAGATGATCACAACTAGGGTGGAAACAACAGAGGGCTAGAAAACTGCTGACCTTTCGGCCTCCTCTTCAGTCACCTCTCGTCTGCTTGGCTGACCTGGGCTTCGGGGGCTACGGGGGGCGTTGTTGTTGGAGCTTGATGACGCGGAGGAGAAGTTCTTCTGAGACTTAGTAAGAGAACAGCTCACATCCAGAGTCACATCATCATTTACGGTGGCTTTGATTATGTTACTGTAAAAACAGAGAGAGGGCAAATACTGTAAATGTGTAGGCCTGGAAACAGCATACTCAAGCAAAATAGAGCCTTATTTAGAGGACTTATGTCTAAGATTAGTTCACACAGCTGTGCAAACATTCAACGTCATAATGAACCTACTTGAAGGAGGGTTTCTGATTGGAGCTCTTTGGAGTGAGGGGTTTCTCTGAGTGGTTATTATGGAGGATGGTGGTCACAGAGTTACCCACAGCTGCTTTATTGCTCCTGAAAGTCAATGCAAAGACATTCTAGATATTCAAATACATTTTTTACAAAAAAATAACAAATATATGAATCAAATCAATATATAAGTTACCAAGACTGCATTTATTTAATCAAAAATACAGTAAAACAGCAATATTGTGAAATATTATTAGAATTTAAAACAACTTTTGTTTTCTATTGTAATATATTTTAAAATGCCATTTATTCCTGTAATGGCAAAACTGAATTTTTACCAGCCATTATTCCAGTTTTCAGTGTCACATGATCCTTTTAAAAATTATTCCAATTTGCTGATTTGCTCAAGAAACATGTTTTAATCAAAGCTGAAAACAGTTTATTTTTTATAAATAGAAAGAAAAAAAAATAAGTGGAAATCTTTTGTAACATTTTAAAATGTCTTTTACTGTCACTTTTGATCAATTGAATGCATTCTAACTAAATAAAAGTATCATGATCTTTTTAAAAACAATCTTACTGACCACTAACTTCTGAATAACATAAATTTACAATTTCAATAATTCAAGCTGACCACTAACTTCTGAATAACAATTTACAATTTCAAGAATTCAAGCTTGACCTTTTAGTTGAGAAGACTCTTAAAATCATGAGACACAAATTTAGTCAAGAGTCTCTAAACGTTTGACTGGTGCTGTATATTTTAAAGCCATAAAACTGAAAGGAATCTAGTGCTCTTCTCCCTCCGGCATACTAATGCTTTGATTGACAAGCACAAAAATGGTGTAAAAGTGAATCCGTTTCCTCTGACACTGTTCTCATGGCAACAACAGAGTTTGAAAGCTACCCATTAGGACACAGTAGTGCCTAAGCTGTAGGAGAAAATGGCTTCCCACCTGTTGTTGGCAGTGAAGTTGGCAGCCAGAGAGACGCCGGTTTCCCTCTTCTTCATGCCTGTAGGAGAATCCATACTGCAGGTACTGTGAGAGCTGCTGGGCACAGGAAATGCTCTTGGCTGGTCATCCTGAAAGCAAGACATCAGTTTAAACCAATGCTACAGCAAGAGCAAGCAAAAACATCTTTCCACTGTTTAGGGCCTCATGAGCTCATCATTTTAAGTTATTTTTCACAGCATAACAATCAAACGGGCAAATTAACCTTACAAAAAGTTATCATGGTGTCCTACATATAATTTAAAAAGTATAATAAAATCTGACAACCACAACAACCAAAGAGTAGTTGGACGTTACCAGGATGTTCCACGTAGTATGGTCTTTGGATGTCTTGGAGAGGCTGGCCAGTTTTCTACGTCCATCAGAGCTGCTGTTGAACAGAGCCAGGAAGTCTTCTGTGTGGCCTTCACTGCAATCAGACGCAGAGAGAGAAAGACAGGAAGGAAGGAAAGACAGAAAGGTCAGAGTATTACACACTAAACACACATGAGGAACATATAAACACAACACTAGACCAATAATACCTAAGATACCATTCAAGTAGTAGTAGTATATATTTATTTAATGCCATGTCAGCATCTTAGGCTATTTTCATGGCAAAAAACATTTTTAAAAAATGCAAGTATAACAAATGCAATAAAAACCAGCAAACAAACAAACACAAGATTTTTCACATTAACATATGATACAAATTCTAAAACTTTTTCTGGCAAAATTATACTAAACTCTTTAAGTGAGTTCACTTCATAAAAGAGTTAAGATACCATTCAAAAGCTTGGGGTCTGAAAGATTTTAAAGGAGTCTCTTATGCATGTCAAGGCTGCGTTTATTTTAACAGAAATATAGTAAACAGTAATATTGTGAAATATTATTAATATGAAACACCCACTTTCTATTTTAATAGATTTTAAAACACAATTTATTGTTATTATTAATATTATTAATCCTGTGATGGCAAAGCTAAATGTTCAGCATTACTCCAGTCTTCAGGGTCATAGATCCTTCAGAGGTCTGTGAGAGCCAGAAATCTTGCTTGTTTGTAGGTGACCAAATACTTATTTTACCGAGGAATTTACCAATTAATTCTTTAAAAATCCTACAATGTGATTTTCTGGATTTTTTTTCTCATTTTTTCTCTCATAGTTGAGGTATACCTATGATGAAAATTACAGGCCTCTCTCATCTTTTTAAGTGGGAGAACTTGCACAATTGGTGGCTGACTAAATACTTTTTTGCCCCACTGTATATAATACGTGCTAAAAAATAAATACTTGAGACGTTTGTTCAAATGCAGTTTAGAAATATTAGGAATATCTAGTCTGTGTTTCCCTTCTTTAAAACAAAAATAGATGCAAATCTACCTCCAGTAAAAACAACCAGACTATTTAGGCTAAACATATCAGATGAGCATATATAAAAAAAAAAAGTTTCCTTTCGGAGGTGACAACAGCTGCACTGGGCTCACAGCAGAGGAATGCTTCAGCGGAGGCTGATTTTAAAGGGGTAGATGTCCATAGGCATTTGGCAATTGCATCCCTCTGCATTTAAATTGCATAAAATGTTTAACATGATACTCGCCCCTATGTCTGACCCACCGGCATCTGTGCTAGCAACTTCAGTATGTATATGTGAGTGTTTTGGGGGTGTAAGGGGCGCCTTGCGTCAGCTAGTCCAATGAAAAGCAATTCAAGGAACTACATTCCTCCACGTTTCCTCTTTTTAAGCAATTCAGAAGGGAAGAGAGGTCACGGAATGACAGTTATTAAGCACCAGAGGGAAGGGGGGAGGGGTATTAGGTTGTTCCTTCATTTAAACCCCCTTGTGGCATCCCAGGATGCAGTGGGATGGAAGGGCAGAACTGGCAGCTGCCGGACAAAAGAATTTCAGCATGCACACTTCTCCTTTCACCGAGTCCTCATTCGAGTGAAACCGGAGACCCCGGCTCCCCTCTTGACAAAGCTGAACCCAGCCCCCTCTTGCTTGGCTTGTGCTGCAGCCGCCAGGCTACAATAGCTATTGTCTGGGGAAACCCAAAATCACTCAACCCCCAGCTGTTGCTGCTTTAAGGGTATAAACCCCCCAACCTCTACGTTTACGAGGTGATCAACCAGACATACCACAGCTTGGGTGAAGTGAGTGCATGCAGGCATGTGCACAAGACATGTACATGCACAAACATGCCATCATTACTTTAAAAAAAAATATCATATGTTGAGTAAGTTGTCAGCTAACCTCTCACTCACATCCCTTGGGGACAGTCCATTCTCAAAGTCTGAATAGGACAGCTGGCACATGTTGATGGGTGAATCTCACAAAAACATATTATTTTTCTCACAAAATCAAAAGCAAGAAATTATAATTTATATTTTACATAAAGACCATTTAGGACCAAGATTTACATAGGACCATTTAGGACTGAGATTTGATTTAATTTGATTAATGGAATATATATATATACATTTTATTTATTTAAATATATTCTGATTAAAATATTTATTTATTTTTTCCCCATTAGATTCTCACCAATGCAATACAGTATTTTTAAAACTGTATTATAGTAAATAAATATTATAATTCAATGCTTTTTATAATGTAAATCAGCATAGACTACAGAAAGTACACCATGCCATACAAATACTATACAATCTAATATATAGTTATTATTAAATATTATTATATAAACATTAAATGTTATATAGATATAATATAAGAATGTTTATAACATTTACGGTAATGAGAATTGAGAAGAAAATATATTGAATTATTATGAAAATAATGTCACAAAAAAAATTCTAAACATATACTAAAACAGGATTAATTTTATCAGACAAATTAGATTATATTTTATTATATTTATTTAGGATTTTTTGGTCACCTGGATGTGTTCATTACAAGTTCTGTTCGATTCACCAGCATCAACACCAAAAGAGACAAACTTCAAAATGGCATGCAAAGGAATGACAGATGGTTCTGTACCTGGGGCTTGTGTTGGCCTGCTGGTTCACCTGTGTGGTGCTGTTAGACCGACGCAGATTCTTAATTGCTCGTGAGCTCCCCAATCCAGCATCAGTCTGCCAACAACAGAGAGTGCAAAGTAGTTACAATACTAGGCCTGCTGAAGACTAAAAACAGGTTTGAAATGGAGCAACTCTCATATAAAGGTGCAGTTATGACATTGGGTTAAGAGATAACCAATGCAATTTGATGTTACAATAAATGGCTTTTATTAATTTGTCTGTTCTTACACCAAGTCACTGTAAGGCTTCAGACAACTTGAAATCCAAAGCTTCAAAAACTACATTGTTCCACAAAAAATAGTGTGTAAATAATGACAGAATTTTATTTACTTTAAACAAAGAAAGAATGGAGTTAATATAATGAGAGCGGAGATGTGAAATATCCTGTTTTGCATTTGTCTAAATCTTAATAACTGCTCCGGGTGTGTGTTCACGGTGTGCGTGTTCACTGCTGTGTGTGCGCACTTAGGATGGGTTAAATGCAGAGCACTAATTCCTAGTATGGGTAACCATACTTGGCCACATGTCACGTCACTCATGACACTCATAAATGAGTCTCACAAGGCGAAGACCACAATATGCATATCAGAAAAGTTGCCTTTATGACAAATGCAAGTCTCCAAGTGACGATGGTGGTATAGATAGTCCAAATTTATGCTTTAATTTGCATGGTTATCTCATTAATAAAGTATAAAGTGCTTGTAGGACCATCACTCAATGACCTTATACAAGGGTCACTTACTACCATATTCTTGATCATTACACAATCTTCTAGCCAGACTCACCAAAGTGTTTCGCTTCCCCCGGCCATCACTGGCCACAGACACAGATATGGATCGAGAGAAGTGTTTTCCAGGTGAAGCGCTGCTGGGTCTGCGGCCCATTGTGAGCGGAGAGCCGGTCAGGCTGAGGTCCAGAGCGTCTCCAGCTGCCCCTGTCTGGACGGATGCGGATGGACTGCGAGTTGTATGCATATTAAACTGATGGACACAGAAGAGGATTCAGTCATAAAAACTGACAAATGCACACAAAAAAAAACAAGACAACCACCACAGAGGATGCTGGATATTGTCAGGATTCCCAACACTTTGTGACCAATGAATTTCCATGATTTTTCCAATTTCTAGACATTACCAAATAAGTATTTAAATAAAAATGTGTATATCTACACTGATGAAATATTTTACAGCTCAGCATAACTAGAAACTCTTATATTCACTATACACACTTCCATCACAGATTTCCCAGCCATGTGTTCCATTAGCATTTCCATTACATTTCTAGGTTTTCCATGACAGACTTATCCTCTGGATCAGAAGCAGGGGAAAACATTAAATAATAGCAGGTCAGTATTTTATTTCAACAAAAATACTGTAAAAGATGCTGTTGAACGCCACAAGTAAAGCCATCCGTATATGTGTTTCTATGGTAACAAATTCAAAGCATCTACACTTTCCATCATATATCATATTTCCAAACACTTTTTGGGTTACCTAAATAGTTTACAATATTCTCTGTGTATAGGTATATCTACACTGATGAAATATTTTACAGCTCAGCATAACTAGAAACTCTTATATTCACTATACACACTTCCATCACAGATTTCCCAGCCATGTGTTCCATTAGCATTTCCACTATATTTCTAGGTTTTCCATGACAGACTTATCCTCTGGATCAGAAGCAGGGGGAAAACATTAAATAATAGCAGGTCAGTATTTTATTTCAACAAAAATACTGTAAAAGATGCTGTTGAACGCCACAAGTAAAGCCATCAGTATATGTGTTTCTATGGTAACAAATTCAAAGCATCTACACTTTCCATCATATATCATATTTCCAAACACTTTTTGGGTTACCTAAATAGTTTACAATATTCTATGTGTATACTGACAATAATCTACATTTAAATGAAGATATAAATAAATCCTTAGTGTAACAGTCTAGGTCTTTCTATCATGATAATCTACAGTTCAATCATACAAAAACAAAGACATTTAACACCAAAGGCCTCCTCCGGCATCGGCACAAAACTGATGAGGGTCAATACACAATACACTGCCTTTGAGAAATATGCAAAAATATAAACAAAGATGTTTAACTGAATAACGTTAGTTACTGTGCGCTAATACATTGATTCAGCTATGGCGAAACTGCCTTTCTTGCACCACTTCTTGCTGGCTTCACATGATATACACGATGACTACAGCAGGATTACACTGTCAATTCATTGCTTACCTTCTCTAAATTGCCCACATCAGATGAATAAACCGTATTTATCCAAATAAGAGCGTCGTTATTCGCGTTCGGAGCGCCTGACAGAGATTTCTCATCTGTCTCCAACTCCACAGCGCATCATTGGCAACCAGAAAACATACAGGAACTCCGCCCATTGAGTTTTGATTGGTGGAGGACGGAGCGTACTAGTGATCTGATTGGCTGCTTGGGTGTGTCTTTTAGACTGATGGCTGAAAGAGGCGTAACGAAAAGGCAAGGTTGGTAGGCGTGCTGCTCCGGCGGCAGATGTGGCGTCTGTGATTAATAATTTAAGATGACTTCTTGTGTGAGTTTTAAAGGTGACATACTAATTAAACGAATAATTATAACTATTAAACATGGCAAAATATACTTACTTAACGTTGTATTTTACAAAATAATTTTATTAATAATAATTAAAAAAAAGAACTCGTTAATTTCAGTTTCTGGAACAATTTCACAATACTACTAAACAATTGGACAAGTTTTCATATATTGTGAATACAAAACAAATTTGTCACAATGTAAACACACTGTTGATCAATAATACAACTTTATTTGGCCCTGATTAACAGTGTGGAGCATATAGTGTTACAGCAATACAGTAGGCTATTGTTTCATTAATTCTTGTTCCCTGAATCAAATATTTACACAAATCTCTTTTAAAAAAAGTTCTCAACTATATGAAGACATATTCAAAGTTCTAAAGAGTAAACATAGATTATTTTAATCAACTGGTTTAACAATATAAAGAACAAGAAAGATTTCGAGGGTTGGAATGAGTCATAAATCTGTCCTATACAACAGACATGACAACATCTGACAAAAAATATTAAAGCAGTCCAGATCTTTTCACATTTGTATTATTCATATTGGTTTGGCTCTTTCAGAAGATCTTTTCAGGGTTTGAACTCCACGGCAAGCCTCCAGATTTCTGCTGCTTTAGCCAAAGTGATTTCCTCTGGAAGATGATCTAAACCAGGAAAAGAGGTGATGTTCTTCTCCTCCAAATGGAATTCCATGGTGGACCTGATGCTATGTTGTGAAAGAGAAAGGAGGAAGGGTGTTCAGTGGTGTGGTTTAGGATCAACAGTTAGCACTGATTCTATTGTCCCCAGCACACGCATTCCTTTTCATTCCGACCAGCTGCCTGCTCAGTAGTTGACTAGAGCAGGGCACACTGACAGATGGGAGCCTGGAGGGGTCAAAGTGTGCCTCTCTTGGGTCTAAAAGCCCACAGGTCTCCAGGGAATGACTAGGTTTGGAAGGTCTGCATTGTTGTGATTGAAAGTGGCCATTCTGAGGAAAGACCCTTATGTCTCTTTGTGTTGTGGTTTGCCTGCAAAAAATCGTCTGCTGAGTTCTCTCTCAATAGACTCATGATCATAGGAGCTCACTGTTTGCTGACCCTTCTCTAGTGTGTAATGGCAGTTAGCTAACACCAAAGGGAGCAACTCCTTTTCTGGGTGACACAGGGCAAGTTGGCTCTCAGACAGCGCTGTCAGTGGCACTTTATAGTCACTGTAAGAGGAAATGCAATTGGCATGCATTAATAAGAAGCACAAAAATTAGAATGATTTCTGAAGTATCATGTGACACTGAAGACTGGAGTAATGACTCTGAAAATTCAGATTTGACATCACAGGAAAAAACTACATTTTAAAATATAATAAAATAGAAAATAGCCATTTTAAAATGTAATCATATTTCACAATATTACTGTATTTTTGATCAAATAAATTCAACCTTGGCGAGCATGAGAGACTTCAAAACAAAAACATTAAAAATCTTACAAAGGTTTGTGTGTGCACACTCCTTCTCAAATACACACCTGTCTTCCTGGTGACAGAGTTTTCTGGCTTCTCGCACAAGACTGTTGTGTGTCTCAGACAGGAGATCTATGATTGCGTGGAGACATGAGCCTGGCCCGTGACGACTCAAGGAGAGAAACTGCCCAGAGCTTTCTTGAGTTATTTCTTTTTCATAAAGTGTAGGATCCAAACCCAAAGAAGCTAAAATAATGAAACAATATCATACTGTACTTTACAATGATGCCTAGACTCACTTGTAGTATTTAAATGTTTGATTTTAGTTTTAAGAGTTTTTTTTATTTAAAGCTGCAGTAAATGTTTCTGGTTAAAAAAAAATCGAAATCAATTTTTGAGCAAGTACATAACCAGCCAGTGTTCAAAACTAGCGCCTTACCTTTCACAATGGTACGCTTATAATAATGTTTTCTAATTTGAGTGGTACTGGTAGGTTTTCGCGGGAAATTGGAGCATGCTGCTGCATCATTATGTCACGTCTGTAAACATAAAGAAGTTGTCCCGGCTACTAGGCTATATCACATGTGAGGATCCTGCAGGTGGAGGATCATTTATAGTCTTTTCTCAAAGCAGCTGGAATAATTACATTTATCATTTTGATGGCGCATGTAAAAATCAGTCAAATCATGTAATGTGAATGTCGTACAGTCTTGCTTGAGACTAAAAAAACGAGTTGAAAGCGCACCGAGCCGCGGAAGAGACTTTCTCAAGCGCTTTCCGCGAGCGAGATTCACGAAAGAGTGAAACACGGACAAATGCGCTTCATTCATTCATTTATAACCACTCATACCCCACACCACCACCCCCACCGACACAGTTTTGCGTAGGGCCCCCAGAAGTCTAGGATCGGCACTGAGTTCACAACCCATTTAAAGAAAATAATTCCGCAAATAACTGCAATTGCAAGTTTCAAACAGAGCTGGCGACAAAGAGGCAAAACTTATGGACTGCAGCTTTAAACAAAATAGTATAGAATTTTAAATATTGTCCATTTAGTGGCTTATAACGGCCAGTTTAATAATTATCATGGGTTCAACTCACAGGAAATACATAATGATAAATACTGAATGCATAAAACTTCTCGCAAATTCCACATGTAAAACTCTTAACAGCTTACCATTATTGGATATTTCCATTCTGAGTTGGTTCCACACCTTCATGAAGATCTCTACTCTTTCCGACAATAATTTCTTCTGATGGCCTATTTTCAATTAATGTGGTGCGCTGTCGCCCTTTCTATGTAAAAATCAGTCAAATCATGTAATGTGAATGTCGTACAGTCTTGCTTGAGACTAAAAAAAACGAGTTGAAAGCGCACCGAGTCGCGGAAGAGACACTGTTTCTCAAGCGCTTTCCGCGAGCGAGATTCACGAAAGAGTGAAACACGGACAAATGCGCTTCATTCATTCGTTTATAACCACTCATACCCCACACCACCACCCCCGCCGACACAGTTTTGCGTAGGGCCCCCAGAAGTCTAGGATCGGCACTGAGTTCACAACCCATTTAAAGAAAATAATTCCGCAAATAACTGCAATTGCAAGTTTCAAACAGAGCTGGCGACAAAGAGGCAAAACTTATGGACTGCAGCTTTAAACAAAATAGTATAGAATTTTAAATATTGTCCATTTAGTGGCTTATAACGGCCAGTTTAATAATTATCATGGGTTCGACTCACAGGAAATACATAATGATAAATACTGAATGCATAAAACTTCTCGCAAATTCCACATGTAAAACTCTTAACAGCTTACCATTATTGGATATTTCCATTCTGAGTTGGTTCCACACCTTCATGAAGATCTCTACTCTTTCCGACAATAATTTCTTCTGATGGCCTATTTTCAAACATAAATTAGAGTACAGTAATATTACTTACAAAAATCCATCAATATATCGAGCAACTAGCTATCTCCTCTAGTGAGTATAAGTATGACAGACCAGCAGGAATGCATTGCAGCAGTGAAGCGATGGTGTCGGTCTGGGTCTCAGAGCCTGGAGGAAGCACTTTCATAAGATCAGACAACAGAGCAGCAAGAGCTGGCAAATGGTTCAGCTGTCTTATGCAGTGCACCTAAAAAAACAGACAAACACAGAGGAGTATAATTTGGAAACATGCTTAAAGACAACATGAAACTCTGTGCGCAACTTGCGTAAGGTGACACAAGGGCCTGGATAATTGTTTTATAGGTCTTCAGTGAACTAACCTTATTGATAAAAAGGGTAAGCAGGGGTGCTTGACTCTGGTTTATTTGCTGTGAGAAGCTTTCCACCGTTAGGACAGGTGAGGGGCTCCAGAAGGCAGAGTGGTGGGTGGGGCAGTTAGTGGGGAGATGAAGGACTTTTTGAGGGTCTCCTCTCAGCACCTTCATCAGGGGACTGTTAGAAAGTTGGTTATCAGCTGCAATCAGATCCTGTGCTCTTCCCAACATCCTGTTCAAATCCTGAAAATAGAGACTTGGTTGACTGAAGCAATTATATGCCTTTAACGTGGTTATTTATACTCACTCTATTTATTTCGTTTATTAAGGTTATTTGTGATTTTCAAATAAATGGTTTAAATGTATCCCATTCTTTTCAAATGGTTCACACATTCCTGATATTCAGCAGTATCAAGACTGACCTGTAAAACAGGACTGATGGCAGTTTTACAGACTGTGGTCTCCCACTGCTCTCTGGACTTGCGTGTTGACAGATCCACACCGGCACCTGGTGAAGACAAAAAATATCAAACATAGGGTTTCTTGTTGCGCAGTTCATTGTAGCATTGCTATGTTAACTATAACTAAACTAAAAAACATTTACGGTAATTGAAAAGCTGAAATATAATAAAATATAAATATTACATACAAATACATATATATACAGTATATATATGATATAAAAAAACTAGCTCAAATTAAAATGAAAACTGAAAATTTGTAAATAAAAGATTTACAATTCAAAATATTTATAAATACCACAGAGTATTGAGATAATACTAAAATAAATTAAATACTAAGAAACAATGAATTTTGTTTGCATGTTATGCTCTTCTTTGTTACTATTTTATAAGTAAAATGCATGCGATACTAAGTTCAAGCAGGTTTATCTTTAGTCAAGATTAAAAGATACCTGAGGTGGTCTGTAGAAACTTGCTGAAGATTAGATGAATTATAATGGCAGAATCATCCAAGTTAAGATTTAAAGTCTTCCCAAGAACCTCCATGTCCTTCTCAAGATGTTGCCAGAGGAACTCATAGACATCATTAACATTTGGAAGGATCATATTTCTGATGCCCTGTGAAGAACCAAAGCCTTTAGAAAACAGTGTTTTTATTCTCTAACACTAGTGGCCCATTAACTGATTTTCAGTAGTTGGCATTATGTAGACAAAGGGAGTTGGCACATAATAATACATTTATCAGCAGGTATTAAGTGAACTTTCAGGGTTCCTTCAAACTTTTTTACCTGTTGATGGTGAATGGCTCCTTGCAACATGGCCAGGTGAAGACAGAGACGGAGAACACAGGACTGTGCTGAAGTGAGATTCCTGTTTGGTGCTTCAGACCGGTTTTCAGCATGTCCCAGTACATGTCCAGGTCGTGTCATGTCAGGGATTCCATGAGCTTCAATAAAGCCTTCAACTGGTTTATGGTTCTGGCCTCCTATACGGACTCCACAAGTGGCACAATTTGACAAAGCCACTGGTTTGCCACACTAAAGAAAATGGAGAAAATTAAATGACCGTTATCAATTTCACAGACCACGGTACCAGTTCATTCAAATAAAAGTGAAAGAAAATACATCTCACCTCTCCCACAAAGCATGCATGACCATTATAACACACTGCAAAGCAGGAAGGAAAGACAAAATCTATTAGGCAGGTGGCATTTAAGGAAATATTTTTATTTTCACTTCATGCACAAGGCACACTCACAGTACATCTTCAGGTTTTTCTCTCCAGCGAGCCACTGCCGGGCCTCACTGGTATTGTCATCAGGCATTGTGGGTAGGAAGGCTCCCTGAGGAAGAGTAGAGAAACATAGCGATTTTAATCATCATCGTGACCAATTCAAAAACCACAGTGCATGACCATCATGAAAAATAAAGAGTGTTCGCATAAAATCAAATGCAAATCACTCCAATCTCACTCCAATAATTTGTATTATTCACAAAAAAGCCCTTACGGTCATATTCTGAGGTTGAGAGGCAATATTGAAAAGGGGACTCAGCAGCCTGTTTCCACTGTAAAACACTGCACTCGCATGCACCATAAGCTCCAGCACAGGACGACGCTTAGCAGGTACACCTGCTCTGAGACTCAGGAAAGATTCTGGACCTCCAATCTCATTGGACAAGAGAGCAGTGCAGAGCTGTCTGGCATGTCCTGTGATGTTCTCTCTAATAACCTCCTCCAAGAACCTGATCTCCTGTTGATAGAGAGGAAAATGTAGGTGTTTAGGTCTGCCAGTGTTTTGCCTAATTTTTCTGAATCTCATAAAGTAAAGGCATGTATGCTCAAACACATTACTTTTGCAGGTTGGATGAAGTTCTGATGAACATCACAATAATACTTAATACAAATTTAGTCCTACATGGATTCTAGCTGAATTCTGAATCCTCACTAGTGATTAATAAAATCATACAACCTAACCAAAACTTACCTGTGCTTGAGGATATATAGCTTTTTCAGGTGACATGAAGCGACAAGTGACCTGCCTGAACACAGCCAGAGTCAGCAGGACATTTTTCACTGGGCCTGAACCACCCATTGCCTGAAAGAAAAAAAAAACATTCAGGCTCTGAATGATCAAATGTAACAGTAACATTTCTATTTCAAATATATGCTGTTATTTTGGACTTTCTATTCACCAAAGAACAGAAAAACAGTACCACAGTTTCCATAAAAATATTGATGACAATAAAAAAAAAAGTTTCTTGAGCACCAAATCAGCATATTAGAATGATTTCTTGAAGAAAATGTGACCCTGAAGACTGGCGTAATGATGCTTTGCCATCACAGGAAAATATTGATTACAGTGAATATATTTACATAAAAAACACACTTTATATTGTCTGTCAAATGTGTTCATAATTAGACATCCGTCAAATAAAATCACATCATTAACCATTAGAGGTTTGCTCACAAAATAATGTTTTGTGTGTGTGTTGTTTATTTAATACAGATGTAGACTCTGACCCGTAATGCTTCTTTGAGTCCATTTGTTGCTTCTCCCACTCCATCTCTAAGAGTGCGGTATGACTGACCACAACACAAGAAACGATCCACCTCTGCAGGAATCAACCTCTGTAGAAGAGAAAACAAACAATTATCATAGAGCTGCTTTTTTAATTAAAGAATAATTTTTTAATCAACAAACTCAATTTTAATATATATCTCTACAGTATTAAAAAACACCCTACGCAACATCATTTGAATGGCCGTACATGAAGCCGTAGTATCTCTGCAGGAAAGATCCATTCATAATCAGTGCTGCTCATCAGTGCTTGCAGACAGTCCATGCCAGCATGCCTGTTGAGTGCTCGAAGCAGGTAAACTCTGTACCAGTCATTGTTATCGTATTCAAACACAGCCTTCACCTGCTCCAAAAGCTTTAGCTCAACTTCCTCAAAATCTGAAAGACACCAAACACAGAAAGTTTGCACAATAAAATGCTATTGCACATGTTATTCGTTTAAGCATTGCAATATACCCTAACTGCCATGAACTGGTCAGAGCAGAAGCCCCTCATACCAGATCTTTTGCTGATAGCTTGGGACAGGATCCTGGCAGCAGAGTCCAGACACATTCTGAGGCGACCCATAGACAGTAGAAACTCTGCTGGGTCATTCTGTCTGCTAGGTGTCTGTTTACGAGCCAGTCGGCTAAGGAAGTTTGAGTTCTCCTTCAGATGTCTATGATCTCCATTTAATCCAGAACAAAACAGAGAATCCTGGATAAATAACAAATCTGCTTTTAGAAACAAACATGCAGATTTTTAGATAATTAATGTGGCTGAAAGTGCAATACAACTAATGGTGATTATACTTCATAAAAAATAAAAGTTTTTGGTGCATTTGCTAAGATACTTTGGATGGCTGCTAAGGTGTTGCCAGGTAGTTGCTTACTGGTCCAAAACAAAAGTCTTGCCATATGCTTTGGGCCCATGGGATTTTTCACCAATTTTGTTGGCCAACCAAAATCATAAAAATAATCACACTTGATGAATCATTCATGTCCGTGGTAAAGAGTGGGTTAAGTGCTAAATATAGCAAAAGTGAAACTTGCCTTAGCAAGCACCATTAATAAGTGAATACATGATACAAAGACACCTGGGATACTTGATTATGACACACCTGGAAACAGTTAACAAAGAGCCGGTAGAGTTCAGTTCTGTCCTCCTGGTCCAGAAGCTTGTTCTCCAGGTTTTCTAAGTACTTTTGTATATGCTTCTTCACCTGTTTGAAGCTGAAGAGATTATCTTATTGCAAAATGTTCTTGATGAGAGTAAAGGCCAATTCACATTGCACCAACAAACACCGACCAGCGTGGAAAAACACCAGATTACAGCACGTCACTTCCATGACAAATGGCAAATACACCGATCTAACAAGACCAGACGAAGTGTCTCTTGCTCTTAGTCGGCGTCTGTCAGTGTAGTGCGAATTGGCCTTAAACAAAACTCTGTGGACTGTGGACTATATATGAAGACAATACTGCATATTTAATGTCGTAAACAAAAGGTCACAAATTTCCTGGATGTGTTAATGTGTATGAGTTGTCTGTATTGGAGCACCTGTATTGCAGAAGAAGTTTTGGCAGCACAGAGCGCACCACAGGGCTCTGGTCAACACACTCCAGGAATGGGGTGAGCTCTCTGGTCTTATAAACATCTCCTGTAATGTATCCAGACAATTAAACAAACATAAAAAAGCTAATTATAGAGTAAATCACTCTTTGTATATATTTTCAATGAATTTGTTGTTTTGATTCCCATAATTAGACTGAATGATTCGTTCACAAACTCAATGAACCATTCATTGCAGATTATTATGACTTAAATGGCCTGTTTAGCCACCAAGCTATTGTATAATTTCAGAAGACTTGGAATATAGAATGCAAAATGCATGAACCAGTGATATGAAATTTTAATTCTAAATTTACTTCATTTTTGAAGCTTGAAAGCTCCAGTTCTTGTTTATTGTAATTGCACTGAAGTGTACAGTTTGCAATGAAATATTCCACAAGGAAATCCACCCGCCTTGTGCCAAAATGAGGAGAGAGAAAAGCAGTTCCACCAGGTCTTCTGGGGGATCTTGAGCATCAGTCAGACAGAAACGAGAAACCAGCTCCAGGAAAAAGGCGTTACAGCATTTTCTTATTTCTTTATGCTGCTTCAGGGCTAAGCTGTAACAGATAAAGATTTTGACAGTTCACAATATATCAACAACAGTAAAGAAGCTAATTGTTCCTTGTATACCCATTCAGTCTAAATGGGTATCTGAGCTTACCAAGAACAAAGAATTAAACTCACTCTATAGCTGTAGAGACAGTGGGCCGGTAGTTGTTCGACAGAGGTTCCCTGCACATGGGACAGAAGTCCGCTCCTTCCCTCACTGTAGATTTCCTCAGACAGGACAGACAAAACACATGCTCACAAGGAAGCACAGCGGGCTCTGACAGATCTGACAGACAGACAGAGCACTTCACACCATTTCTGAGAAGAAAAAGTATACAGAAAATAAGTAATGAAAGGGTTTATTGTCACATGGTTTTAAATGAAATCAATTATACCATATAATATAATACAACTCAATTCAAGTGTACCGCAGTTCTTTGCTGATGGATTCCTCGTGGTAATCATTAAGTATGCGAATGATTTGCTGAAGATTGTCTTTGCTCCTCAAATCAGGAAACTCTTCCATTAGCTGTGAGAGAGGAAATATAAGCAGTATATGTGCTAAGGTCTTTTGGGGTGAGGGGGCTTCAAGGGACTTCAGTATACCAATGTCTCCTCCAAATGTAATAAACAAAGCAGAGTCTGGACTCACCCCATGTAACTGACTGCAGTGTTTCAGAGTCAGTGCTTTTATCCGGTCATCTCCTACGTTCATCCTGACAACCACCTTTTCAATGAAAGCAGCCACTAGCAACATCCCCTGCCACACTGACCTATGGAAATAAAACAAAAGAGTTTATGTAAGCTTTTGATATCTTTTTAAACATGAAATCATGTTTTCAAATTATACTGTTTTCTAAATCTGCAATATTCTTCATTCTCACTTTATAGTGTCCAGGTGTTTGAGACAGCCAGGGCTGCAGAGGGTGCTGTAGGCAGTACTAAGCACTCTTTCTAAACACGGCTGAAGTTGCTCAACTCTTTGCAAGAAGGTCTGGCATTCAGTTATTGATGTTACAGGTAGGAGCTTTGTTTCTTCAACACAGATACCAACAGCTAGAATGTCCTCACACTGTAATAAAACAGAAGAACAAGATCTAAATATTGTCTCATTAGTATTAATTTAGTAGTTTGGTTACACACACTGGTCTCTGACTCACTGGTAATTATTTTGCTACATAACAGTAGCTTAAATAGGCACTGGAATCTAAGTCACCAGCATGTCTAACTAAAAAAATTAGCTGGTGAACAGACTAAAATAAGCCATTCTGAATCTGAATCAACTCGGAAATTCATGCTGCAATCCTGCTCCTCACCATATCAGGGCTTTCTCTCTTCAATATTTCTCGCTGGATGATGCGGCCCAGCTGAGGGTTGAGCTGAAGGGCATGGGATAATGTGTCCAGGCGTGAGCTGTAGATTTGAGCTGCTGCAAGGATCCACGATGGAGAGAGCTCAGGAGTTACTGACATCTCCATCTGCAGAGCAGACACACAACCCAGCACTGCACTACGAAAGACCTGTAAGCAAAATCAAACACACCCATAGACATCCACATTAGAACATGAAATATGAGATTGTGAAAAAAAATGTTACCAGCCTTATAAAACCTATGCATCTCACCCCATGCTCTTCCTCAGATTGGATTTTGAATGACAGAAGAACATAATCAGTCAAGTAGCGCTGACCCAGCTCAACTTTCTCTCCCTCTGACAGTTTCTGAATATAGCTGCCCAGTCCACTGCCCGATACAGCACTAACAAACTGCTGAATCCTCCCTTTGATGTCTTGCTCAGAACCTGAGAAAAAATTTAAAAACATGGAGTATGCTTATACTGTTTTGCATGATCTTGCAAAACAACAGGAGTTTTATGTAAAAGACGTAGCTATATGTGATATCTGGTTATCTAACTGGCCAACTGTAGTCAGACACAAATCAAAAGGCCTCACCTCGCACAAACTCTGATTCCTCCCACAAACTCTGGCAGTATGTTTTTATCAGCCAGCTAAAAGGAGCAGTACAAGGCCGTTCTACTTCTCCAATAAACAGGTGACACTGCACATTAATCTCCTGATCTGGAGCACTAAAGGGAGAAATCCACCTCATCAGTTACATTTAGACATTTAAAAGCATTTAATGCCTCATTTAATCATTAGCAGGTTTCATATATTTAAAAATACCTTGGATCTTGTGAGACGGTCAAGTCAAGGAGCTGTTGATCTTCAAAGATATCTAGCCAGAACTGGGCCAGACCCTCACTGAGCCCTTCTCCATACAGTAGGTATAAGTTGCAGTCCCTGTCCAACACTTCTAGAACTCGGGCAAACACTGGAGTCAAAACACCCTGTAGGTTGCGCCACAAAGTGTGCCTGAACACAAACACAGAAATGTTTTGCTAGCTTGTTAGTTATCTCTAATCTACGGCTGATGATCCAGTGCAAAAAAATGAATTTTTATTTATCTCATGCTGTTGATTGCTAATACCAGACATGACATGCATGAAGCATTTGGTAGGGAAGAAGTATGGGATTATTTTAAAGACCTTGTGCAAGGCTTGCAAATAACAATTCTACTGTATTTTTATTCCCAATTCAAAGTAGTTCCACACCATTATTTTATCCACGCAAGTTTTAATTATCTGACATTTTTATCCAACCCCTTTTGATTGACATGAAATAATCATTCCTAAGCTTTTTTAAACATCTGAGATAGATAGATAGATAGATAGATAGATAGATAGATAGATAGATATATAGACAGACAGACAGACAACAGATTGTTAATGCTGGTTGCATTACAGTACCGAAGTGTTCCACCTTCCTGCAGAGCTTCACGGTTCTTTGCCACTTTATAAACCCAGTCGTCTGCATTAGGAATCAGTTCCTCCTTCCGCATTAGTGAAAACACCAGCCTCCTTAGCAACACTTCCTGGAACCGTACTGAAAATTCATATAAACATGAATTTGTGACTTAAGCTTATAATTTCTTATGGTTTCTATTTTCAGTAGTACTTTACATGTACAGTACAGGGGCTGACCTCTTTTCCGCCTAGGGTCCCCTCCCAGAAGGCCAAACAATATGTTCATGCGCTCCACACTCCTGGAGGTTTTTTTGCCAGTATCTCTTAGCAATGAAACAGCTTTCTGGGTGCAGGAACTCAATAAAGACAAACTGTGTAGATGCACTGAATCTCCCTGACAACCAATTAAACACAGCATTTCTGTCAGGAGGTATGAAATTATTTCTGATATAGCACATCTCTGATGTATATGTTTAATCAAATCTATTGCAAGCTTAAAGAATTTTTACCTTCTCACTTCCTGGTCCACTTGTACCAATTTCCTCTGATTCGTTGACATCTGTATAAAATATACAGTATATATATACTTTCTTTTGAAAAAAGAAAATGTGAGTTGTGCAAAGGTTACAAAACATGGTGTTGCTAGGGTGTTCTAGGCATTTTTAGACCCTAAATATGGCTTGTGTCTTTCCTTCAGTGCAAGTCTGTGGGATTTGTATCGTCCATCAGGTAGAAATTTTAAAGAGGTGGTTGATTGCGATTTCACTTTTTTAATGTTAGTTAGTGTGTAATGTTGCTGTTTGATCATAAACAATATCTGCAAAGTTACGAAGCTGAAAGTTCAATGCAAACAGAGATATCGTCTTTTAAAATTCTGGCATTTTAATGTCTACAAAAACGACTGGTAAGGGACTACAACGAGTTACTTCCCGGGTCCGTTACATCTCTCTCTCATTCAGATCATCAGCTCAGTGAATACACTTATTTTCACATACTATAGCTATGAGAAGCGTTATACATGGACGCGTGCGGTTGCCGAACTGTATTAAAGCTTTAATCAGAATAAAACTGTATATTAAAAGCTAACAGAAGCAGTAGCATTTACAAATAACAGCATATCTAAAAGTATGAGACAACAACAAACAAAAATCGTAGGACCGCCTCTTAGACTTGCGCTAGAGGCGGTTTAGCCAATCACACTGGGCCAGCTAATCAATCAGAGCCCATCGTGTATTTCTGAGGGAGGGGCTTCATAAAAGCAGGAAATGATCAGCGCGTTCAGAGGAGAAGGGACAGAGCGGTGTGGAATAAAGGTAAATTATGTGAAAAATTATGTGTTTTTCAACAAACGAAACATTAACACATGTTAGACTGCACCCCATAAACACAATCAAGCCTAGAAAAAACCCAGTCAACCACCCCTTTAAGATGGATGACTAACACTTCACCTCACAACAAGCTGCATTGATTTGAGGATTGTTTAATAGTCCAAGTTGCTGGCAGCTTTTGGTCACTGGTACCTTACATACCTGACACGATTTTCTGGGAGATGAGTTTACTTATAGGTATTCCACAAAAAGCCTTAAGATTTAAGGTCATGTCACTGGAATCGCTGAGGTCATCAATATGTGCAGACAGCCAAACTCCTTTAGTAAAAATACACTTGATAAGAATGGATATTTGACCATATCTAAATACACTGCAAAAGTTTGTCTTGCCAAAATTAATACACTAACCTCCTTGAAAGCCAATGTACTTGTTGCTTCTTGTTCTACAATGCTCCCCAATTCGGGAGAGCTTTGTGATAAACACAGTATAGAAGTTGCACTCATCTGACTTTAAGGACAAGATTTCATTCATGGTACAGTATCTAACGTAAGAAGAGTGACAGATAAAATGTCATTAGATTCTGACTCCTGTTATTTGGGTTGTTAATAAATTGAAATCTGATTTAAACTGCATCAAAGGACCTACTTTG